AACATCCATTTCAAAATACTCTTCAGCTTCTTCCCTACTCAAATCTCCAACAATATATGGGGTCACATGTGGGACATTCAAAACTATTAGAACAAATGTAAATTAGAAAATGATAGACCTTTGCATTGCTACTAAATATGATTACAAAATGGACTTATGATCTACGATCCAGTTAAGAAAGAATGAATCAGAAGAGGTAAGTACTACGTGGAAATGTTCATTTTGTTTTGTATTCACAACCAACCAATTCAGAATTGATTTGAGAAGCTTTTCTTCTTCTTTTGAACCCATAAGTTGGTTAAACATGTTTGCTTCATCAATGATTAAAATGGGTGGGGGTATGTTATAGCCATTCCAAAAGTTCCAATTTGGAAGGGCACATGAAATATTATTAATCAACTTTCTGACATCATCAGAAGTAATTTCTTTTTCATTAAACGGATTCCCACCAAATGGCTTAAATTTTAACTGTAAATCATCCATCACAGCGCTGATTTCCCCTTGTTGAAGCATTTCTGTCAAGAACTTTGTATGTCTCTTGAAAAATGGTTGGAATTGCAAAGAAATTGAATCATAAATTGTCTTTGGTGTGTCAAATTGTCCTTGACGGCAGTTGATAAAAAGAGGGTTGAAATCGCCTTTACTCGTTACCTCATGGACCAATTTGGTTTTCCCACTACTAGGAAAACCTAGAACAACATGAAGTTGTGGATTGGAACTAAATGCATTTTTAAAGTTAAAAAGTTCTCGTTTCTGATTGAAAAAGCTCTTTTCACCTTGTGTTGTATAATGAGCAACACAACCATTACTCAGCATATTTGAGATACAACTACCATCAATAGGCAAGCGTTTGAAGGATTTAGTTAAACTGAAAACAAACATAACAGAAAAGATTTATACACATAACCCTGTGAAACAATTGATTTTTATCAGTATCACATGATAAAATTCACAAAAAATTATGATTTAAAAATGACGCCAGCTTATTCAGCATAGTGGAAATTTGAAATGTCACACTAATTTTTTATATTGTGCAACATAGCTTTACAATACACGGCAAACATTCTGGCAATAAAAAGTAAATGATAAACTGGATTTGAATTGGATCTGAACTTGATCTCCAATTTAGAGAGGTAACAACTATATAGTGGTAAAGTTTCAGGAGCAATGAATTGTCCAAGGTTCTAATATATTCATGTTAAAAAAATAAATGAATGAATATAGGTTTGTGTTAATAATAAATAAATAAATAATTATAATTGGAGAAAATAAATTCAAATTATAATAAATTTCAACAACATTGATATTAATGTAGTATTCATGAATAAAGATATATGTTAGGTAGTAAAATGATGATTACTGGATAAATATTAATGATTTAAATGTTTAAGAATATTAAAATTAATTTTTAAAAGATAAATTTTATTTATTCTAAAATCTTAATATAAAAATCAATCATCATTTCAACTTTATTAGTAAAAATAAATATAGATAATATATTAAATTCATTTTGCTGTGTAATTTTTCCATTAAAGATTTGATAATCTTTTCATCCAAACATAAAATAATCCAAAAAAGGTATTAATTACAGCTCATACCCATATAAATGCTTTATTGCCCTCCACATTCTTAACATATATATACATATATTTTTTAATAATATGTTTTCATAATGTGTAATGAAGATTTTAAAATCCGTTGAAACACGAATTTAATCACAATCTGTTAAAATGAAGTCCGTTGAAACAAGGTTATATTGTAACATGTACTAAAAAAGAATAGAACTATACATAGAATGTTAATTACCTAATTACCGTGAAATACGTGATACGTAATGATCGTAATTAATTACCACTTTCCCTCTTTAAAAACGTAATTACAAAATTGATTACTATTACGGATGACAAATTAATTACAAATTAATTGTTGAAATCAAAGAAAATGAAATTTTTCTATACGACCCGTTATTAACACTACACTCGTTAACCAATGTCAAAACCTTTGCTTTATACCAAAGCAAATAAACAAACCCTCAGAGTACCACTCTGATAACCCAACGGATAATTAAACTTTACTGTCTAATTTATTTATTTTTTATTATGTGTGAAATTATTTTTACAATTAAATTAAATTAACGAGAATAAATAAATATTTATTAGCAAAGCTCTGAAATATTAATTGATTAACCTGATGTTTTTCACTTAGTCAAAAGTGATTTATTTTTGTAATGATTTTTTAGGTCAATCATTTAAATAAAAATAAAAATATAACATTCTATCAGGAAATTAGGCCAATCTTATTGCTTCCTTGCAGGACCTACAGTGCAGTCATCTATACTCAAAAGTTAAAAAAATTGAAATATTATGTGATCCACATGTTAGGTTTTAAAAAAACCTACCATTCAGTCCAGCTTTAAAAAAGATTTTAGAAAAAAAGTTTGTCTCGAATTTTTTTTTTCATGGATTTTTTAAATTTGAGTTAAAAATGCCAATAATTTCCGTGTTACAATATTTTCTTTTGATGTAATATGTTCGTTAAACATTTTTATTGTAAAGAATTTTTATTATTAACTAGAGTTGGATCATATTTATTTATTATTTGTGGTCATAATGGCACACAATATTCATCTGATTTGTTGCTGCTGA